ATACAAAAATAAAAACTGTTTAGAAGTATTTACTAAAGTTGATCCTGCAACTTAACTCCAAAAATAGAAATTTACACATATGTATACTAAAAGTATAACAATGTTCAGGGGAAAATTATTCAGTAAAGCCAAAAACTGGAAACAGCGCAAATCTTCAACAAAAATAAATTGTGCTATATGTATTTCCAAATGGACACAGCAATGAAAATGTATACTGCTACACACAATAATGGATAACTCTCACAAATATAGTATTGAATAGAGGAAAGTAGATGTTCTGGGCTGAATGTTTGTGTTTCTTCCCCAAATCCATATAGTAAAATCCTAATCCCCAATGTAATAATAGGAGGGGGGTGGCCCTTGAGAGGTGATTAGGTCATAGGATGGAGCCCTCATAAATGGGATTAGTGTCCTTATAAAAGAGACCCCAGAGGGGTCTTTTGCCATGTAAGAACACAGTCAGAAGACTGCTGTCTATGAATAAGGAAGAGGGCCCCCACCAGACACCAAATCTGCCAGTGCCTTATCGTAGACATCCCAGTTTTCAGAACTGTGGGAAATAAATGTTTGTCGTTTAAGCCTCCCAGGCTACTATGTATTTGTTGTAGCAGCCTGAATGGACTAAGACAGGGTGATTCACTCAGCAGGATAATCTATGTTGTTAGAAGTCAGGATAATCATTATCTTTCTGGAAGAAAAGTAAAGCAGTGACCAGGAGGGATGAACGAGGCTCCTAGACGCTGGCAAGGTTCCATTTCTCGATCTCGGCAATGGTTAACTTAGTTCGTTTGTGACAGTTCATCGAGCTCACTGGGATACAGACCTGTGTATCTACAGTTTCTGTGCCTTTCTGAATGTACTTTATGCAATTAAAACAAAATTTAAGAAGTTTTTTACCTGTTTTTTCTGTGTTCTGGTTCTGTTTTCTAGCCAGTCATCCATTTGTTCCTCAATTTCTTCTATAGAAGTTCCATGATCATAAGACTGAATATATGCACTTTCTAAAGGTGTATATACAGGAAATTCAGGTTTTGGTTTTTTTACTTTAACTTTCTTCTGCTCTAAAAAAAAAAAAAAAAAAAAAAATGTTTAAAAGAACCAATTAATAAAAGAATAAAAAGAATTTCTAATATTTTATTCATAAACCGTATCTTGAAAGAACATATTGTTCTCTCCCCAAAATATTTAGCTGTGTTTTAATGTGTGCATTATCACTGCATTGCTTTAAAATTCAGAGATGCTATTGATGAAATGATGATTATAACATAAGCACATCAATTTGTACACATCTTTAATTTTCAAAGTACTTTCCATGAACATTTCATTTTGGCACAATGAGAAGAGCCCGGTCATTACTGTTTTCATCCTACCTTTACATCCTACTTAATAGTTACATAACATCAGTCAAGTAACTTAACCCTTAGAACTTGTGTCCATTTTTCTCATCTGTAAAAGAGAACTAAATCTAACCTCATTAAGTTGACGTAAAAATTACATATCCTTTAACATACTATTTGGCACAAAATGGCTCTTAATAAATAGTATACATTCACCTTTTCAATATTTTATAAAGACAAAATTAATCTGGAAGCATCAAGAGTAGTTATCAATAGATGGTTATCAATTGGCCTCTCCATGAAATCCCATTTTGATTAGTTAACAACGAGAAGCAACTTCATTCTTAATTACTATTTTCAAATTCACCCAGCCTTATAACCGATATCTTCACTATCCTGTGTGTGTTTGCATGTACTATAATGCCAATGTAATAAAATTAATATGATAATGGCATAGGAACAGACACATTCCTAGCAGAGAATAGAGAATGTATAAATATCTCAATTCAGTGGGAAAGGATTTAATATATGATGCTGGTACAATCGAACATCCATTTGAAAGAAAACTGTACACAATCTTACACCATATAGAAATAAATCCCAGCTGGATAAGAGATTTGACTTTAAAACTGATACAATAAGAATCCTGCAAAATGAAATCTAAAAAACTACCTGTAGAACTTAAAGAGGAAATCTTAACTAAGACTGAAAACCTAGATGTTATCAAAAAGATAAAATAAAAGATCAAGAGAAATAATACATTGGGAAAGACCATCTACAACTCAGAGTACAAAGAGAATATAATGTATAAAGAGGTCTTATGAATTGACAAGGGGATAAGCGGCCCAATTAAAAAAAAATAGCCAAAAATAATATACATTAAGAATACAGTGCTGTGAGATCAGTTCTAGCTAGAAAAAATATCACTTTAACTAAAAAGACTGTAGAATCTACCACTACATTTTACTTTATAATGCTTTATACCTTAATACTTCCAGGCTTTGGGTTGGTGACCTAAAATGAAAAACTCTGACTCCATAACAGGAAATTTATAAGGCAAATGACAAGTGAGTCTATTTCAAAAGTATCAAAAATCTATTATAGTGTCACCAGAGTACCATATAAGCCCAAATAGGAGGCCAGGTTTTTGTTTTTGAAAACAACTTTTCAGAAAAGAAGAATCCACATAACTGACTCCTTATGAATGGCCACGTATACTTGGCTTCTCTCAATTTCTTCATTTTGAACAACAAAGTACTGCTAAGGGATAATATGCATAACCTAGAAACCTTCTCAGTGTACTAATTTTGGCTGCTTACAGAGAATTAGTTATAAAAAAGCAAATAAATATAGTTGTTTGTATTTATTTCTAGGGTATTTCATCACAACTACAAATGTTTGATGTCTTTTAAAACAAGCATTTAAAAAATCACCTTAAAAGAGTAACACAAAACTTCTACTTCTAGACAAATGAAGCCAAAATACTTTTTTTTTTTTTTTTCAGTTCTTCCACTAAGAAAAACTAAATGTTATATGAGAAACAAACACCAGAAGAACCTGAATGCTGGAAAGAAGATGACACACCAGTTAGGTATGGCAGGACCCAATGAACACTCAGGTGGTGACTTCCCTGGGGTTTCTTTGGGTCTCATCTATTCCAGCTTCCTCCACCCACCAAAAGCTCTCTCTCTCTAGCCAAAGAACCAGAGAAGCAGCAGTACAGCAAGAAACAACTTTTAGATAATAACTGATCTATTTCAGGCAAACAAAACAAAAAACTGTGGCAACAGCCCTTCTCCAAAGGCTAATGGGAAGCCTAGGCTTCTGTCGTTGCGAGGCTGTAAGAAGGCTCCCACTCTCCCCACCACGGCGATGCAGGAGAAGGCTGCATAGGACACCAGACTTTCATCGCCACTGAGAGGTAATGAGGATCCCCATTCCCTAGGGAGTCTGTGAAAGTAAGTGAGCAGCCTGGATTCCCACATCCATCCAGGGGTAGTGAAGTGTGTCTCCCCCTCCCTGCCAGGGTGTTTTCAGAGGAGCCTAGAGGACAGTCGGGGCTTTCATGACTGCCCAGCAGTAACGAGGCATTTCTCCACAATGTCAGTAGAAGCCAGGTCAGGGGTATTAAGTAGAAATTCTTGCCTATCCCAGCCAGGGTGTTATCAGCGGAGGCCTACTGGCAAGCAGGAGCACCCATACCTGCCCAACCTTGAGAGTATCCACAATCACCCTCCACCTCGGCTGTAATACAGGCCGTTGCTACCTGACTGTAATGGGGCGGCAACCCTCCCCTTCCACTGCAAGAGCTTTGTCAAAGAACGTTAGGTAAAATAAAATATTTAAATAATATCGAGTCTTATATAACCCAAAATGTACAAGTGTTAATAAAAAAAAAAAAGCCCATCATATTCAAAAATCTATAGTGTTCCTATACTCTAATAATGAAGTGTCAGAAAAAGAAGTGGAAAAATAATTCCTTTTGCAATTGCAACAAAAAGAATAAAATATCTAGGAATAAATTTTACAAAACACGTGAAGGACCTAGAAAATGAAAACTACAAGACTCTTAAAAGAAATTGAAGATACAAAGAAATGGAAAGATATTCCACGTTCTTGGATTGGAAGAATCAACATAGTTAAAATGACTATATTACCTAAAGCATTATACAGATTTAATGGAATCCCCATCAAAATCCCACCGGTATTTTTTAAAGAAATAGAACAAAAAATCATCAGATTTGTATGGAAGCATAAAAGATCCGAAGAAAAAAGAATGAGGCTGGAGGCATCACTCTGCCCAACTTCAAATTATACTACAAAGCGACAGTAATCAAAACAGCATGGTATTGGCAGAAGAACAGAGACATGGACCAGTGGAACAGAATCAAGAGTCAGAAGTAAACCCATATTTATATAGGCAAATAATTTTCGACAAAAAAGCCGAAAAACATACAGTGAAGAAAGGAAAACCTCTTCAATAAATGCTGGGAAAACTGGAAGGTCACCTGCAAAAGAATGAAACGAGACTGTTGTCTATCATCACACACACCAAAATTAACTCAAAATGGATTAAAGACCTGAATATAAGACCTGAAACAATAAAATGCATAGAAGAAAACATAGGAACTAAACTCAAGGACCTCGGACTTAAAAAGGATTTTATGAATTTGACATCAAAGGCAACGGAAGTAAAAGCAAAAATAAATGAATGGGACTACATCAAACTAAAAAGCTTCTGCTCAGAAAAGAAACCGTCAACTAGGTAAAGAGACAATCATCCAAATGGGAAAATATATTTGCAAGCAATGCCTCCAATAAGGGCCTAATATCCAAAATATACAAAG